TTGCGCCTCTACTCAGCGGCTCTATGCCCTTGCCTTCTCTCTTTTCCTTTTTTTTGTCTTGCTCATTTACATCCTTCCTCTCATGTATGCCAATCCATCGAGCGGCAGCTGTTTGAATCGCTGCTTTGTCCTCGTGCACTTTGCCTGCAGGCACCGCAATCTAGATTCAGTCATTCTGCTAGATCTAGATTTGTGACTGGATCTAGCGAGTGCGCACAGCTTCACTGCATCAAGATTCTTCACATTGCTCACACCCCAAAATCCCCTGGTCCGTGACCAACCAATGCTTGCATGCATGCAATTTGCTTCGCTTGCGTACGCTGCAAATCAGCTGCACAGCTGCACATGCATCGCGACGCAGTGTTCAGACACTACTCATCACAGCTTGGGGCTTTTTTCGTCACATGATCGCACTTTTTCTGCACCCCCTTTTTGACTTCACCGCGCCAGACTCCTTACTCCGGTGATCAAGTGAGCAAGCGAGCAAACGTCACTGCACCATGCCATGCGCTGCAGCAACAGGGACAAGACCACGTGGCTGGCTTGCAGGCACACGTGCGCGCGAGCACACTGCGCTGTGCGCACTTCTACTTGCCTGCAGGCACGCTGCGCTGAAACAAGAAGGAGCAAAGCAGAGGAACTGAGGAGTAGAGCAGCGAGAAGGGATTCGTTTCCATGTGATTGCACAAGAGACAAGCAAGCAGGCAGAGAACGACGAGAGGCAGCGCAAGGGACACGTGTGCACGTGTGTATGCATGCGTTTGTGTGTAGATGTTGCCGCCAGGCACGGGAACGTGTTTCTGATTAAAGTGGATTGAATGAGTAGTAATCCTCTGCTCACTGCAGACACACTTGCATGCGATTGTGCACTGCTGCTGTGTTGCCCGCAAGCATTGGTAGCTTCTCCTATTTGCATTGGATTCACTCCACTACATACCATTGCTCGCTGCAGACACACTTGCATGCGATTGTGCAGTGCTGCTGTTTGTTCTAACTACTCACAACTTCTCCTATTCGTGTTGTATTCACTCCACTTCATCCCTCTACTCACTCGCAAGCACTCACACCTTCTCCTACTTGCATTGGATTCACTCCACTTCATCCCTCTACTCACTGTTGGGTGACTCGCAAGCACTCACAACATCTCCTACTTGCATAGGATTCACTCCACTTCATCTGTCTACTCACTGTTGTGTTACCTGCAAGCACTCACAACTTCTCCTACTTACATCGGATTCACTCCACCACATCCCTGTACTCACTCGCAAACACTCACAACTTCTCCTGCTTGCATTGGATTCACTCCACTACATCCGTCTGCAAACACTCACAACTTCTCCTGCTTGCATTGGATTCACTTCACAGCATCCGTCTACGTACTGACAAGCACTCACAACTTCTCCTGCTTCCATTGGATTCACTACACCACATCCGTCTACTCACTCGCAAGCACTCACAACATCTCCCACTCGCATTGGATTCACTCCACAACATCCGTCTACTCGCTGCAGACACTTGTGCGTACGCTTGCTTGCTCTGTGCGTGTTGCTTGCAAGCACCCACAACTTTCCTTGCTTCCACCCTGTTCACTTCACAACACGCCTCCACTCACTCGTCACTGTGTCACAGCATCACCCACCATGCCTGCACGTACCTGCAATCGACTCTTTATCAATCCTCACCATCACTCACACATTGCTCTGTCGCCCCCTCACCACTTCACTCCACTCCACTTCGCTCAGCAGCAACGCCTCCCGTCTTGGATTCACGCTCCAACATCACCTGCGCTTCCTCTCTCGCCTCCAGCAGCGATATGATCAGGTGCGTAAGAAGCTCACTGCAATCGTCTTCTCCTCTTCCCACTTCACCTTCTCTCTACATGCATGTGTGCTACTGCTTGCAATGTTTGTGCTTCTGCTTCCTTTGCTCCACCGCCACAAACACAACACACACACATCCATGCATGCGCCGCTTTGTTCATTTGTCTCACCCTTCACTCACTTTCTCCTTTCTCTTCCCTTTGCCTTTTCACTTTCCATGTGTTTGCATTATTGCTTTGCACTTGTTGCCGCATGCTTCATTCATCCCTGTCTCTCCCTCTCTTCCATCTACTCACCGCCACACAGCACCTCTGCAAACACCATCACACGTCCTTCACTTCATTTCACGCAACACAGCACCACCACATACAACCCACTGTGTGCATTCGTGCCTCCCTTCTTCCCCTTCTTTTACCAACGTGTCACCACAAGCCTTGTTTGTCCATTTCACCTGCGTTCCAACCCCCTCTGTCTTGTTTCAATTCTTGCCACTGCTGCTGCTGTTTCCATGTGTTTGCATGCCTGGCCTTGTCCATGTTCACTACTTTGTGCCGCCACCCCTTCCCTTTCCCCTTTCCTTACCTTTCCTGCCTCGTTCATGTTTCATGCTGCATGTGTTACAACACATCATAAACCCATCAAGCCCACGCTGCCGCCTTCTTCACCATCAGCCCTGTTCACATCCACCACCACCAGTCGCTGCCACCACCACTCGCTTCATCCTTGCCCCCACTCCCTCGTTCACTGCTGCTGCTGCTGTCCTCACCTGCGTGCAACACCCACTCCGCAGCCACACGCCCAGCTCACCACCAATCCAATTTATATCACAACAACCCACACGCCGTGTTGACTTCACTGCAACCATCAACAACCATCCACCAGCATCACACGATACACACAGCTGCACATGCGTGTTGCATTGTATGTTTCCACTACACTTCAGCAACACGACAGCAAGCAAATACACACAGACACACAGACACACGTGGCAAGAACAGGCGAGAAAGCATCCCCATATCAACTGCAAGCAACACACACACACAACAAGCGACAGCTCCATGCTACGCCACACCGCTTCACTCCCCTATCAGCCGCCATCATACCTTCAACCAACAACAACAGCAGCAACAGCAGCAGTGTGCATGCTGTGGCAAGAGAGAACAGAGAGAGAGAGAGAGAGAGAGAGAGAAAGGGAAAGGGAGGGAGGAAGGCAGAGGGATACAAGGAGAGAGACGTGCACGCTGTCAACAACAACACGACACAACAACACACACAACAACAATGCAGCACAACCCGCTCACGCTCCCCTCCTTCTCCAACGAGGTGCGTGGCCTATGGCAGCCCCACGTCTTGCTTGGTTGTCCTGTGTCCTTGCTTGCTCGTGTGTCCTTGCTTGGTTGTGCGTGCCTTGCCATGGGTTCCAACACACAGCCTGCACTTCCCCTGCACAAGCGTCCATGCGTCCATGTGTGCGCGTGCGTGTGAGGGGATGACAAAGAGGGAAGAGGGAAGGGAGCAGAAGAAGAAGAAAGGGAGAGATGGGAGGTGCGTGAGCACAGACGATGGTGATGGGCACACACGACGTGGCTGTGGTGAACAACACAGACGGACACAGACACAGACACAGCGAAGCAGCAACGCACAACAGACACAACAGACACAAACAGGGGAAACAAGAGCAGCAGCAGCGGTGCAAACACACACACACACGCGCGCCGAGGGAAGGACATCAGCCAGCCACAGGTCCATCCATGCAGCAGCAGCGGTGGTGGCAGCAGGAGAGGAGAGAGAGAGGAGAGAGGGAGAAAAGGAAGAGTCCTGCCTTGCCTGCCTGCCTGCCTTGGCTGAGTGGGGATGTGTGTCTGCACACCCACTCACTCACTGTGTGCGTGTGTGTCACCATCCAAACACATACACAGGTGTGTGAGACAGAGGCAAGCAAGTAGCCACCACACATACACACACACAGTGTGAATCACAAGCAGACACAGCATGAACGACATGCACACAGTCACAGTCACACGCACATGCAAGTGCAACGCACCGTGAGGTGGCATCAGACTGCCTGTCAGCGTGTGTGTGTGCGTGTTCACACACGTGTGTGTGGGTCGATGCAGCCCATCACCCCTCTCTGTGTGTGCGTGAGCCAAATGCATCCATAGCAGCAGGGAGTGCGTGTGAGATCACAACACCTACCACAGCCACGTCCACCTCTCTCTCCTTCACACACACACACAAACACACGCACCCCCACAGCAGTCAAACCAATTGATAGAACTCACCCAAACTCACGGTGCCAGCGTGCCATGGGCCTGTGCAGCACATATGTGACCCTCACCGACCGTGGGCAACGCCTTGCATGCCTTTGGCCCTGCACACATCCATGGTGTGGGCGGTGCTGTGCATGTTCTCTGCTTGCACCTGTTCACCATCACACCATCACCCACCACACCCCACACAGTCCATGGAACCAAACGAAACCACCCACAACAGAACCGCCAGTGAGTGCCCGTCACAACGCGCACCCTCTCCCTCCTCTCCACCAACCCTGCGCCAGCCACGCACACGAACAACGCAAACCACCACCACCCACTCAAACACACACAAACACGCACCTTGATTCGTGTTTTCGCCTGCTGGTTGTTTGTGTGTGTGATCTTGTTGGTTCGTGTTTGGGCGATTTGTGGAAGATGCCACAAATAATCGCCCACTGCTGCGTTTGTGCGGCAACTGCTGTTTGCTTTCTGCGTTTGCTTGTTGAAGGGCGGACTTGCTTGCTTGCTTGGGTGGTTGGTTTCAATGAGACAAGAAGCAGAAGGAGGAGGAGAAGAAGAAGAAGGGGAACAGCACTGTGTGTGTGAATGCAACACAGGCTCACAGGCCTTGCAGGCTGGGAAGGGAAGGGGAGAAGAAAGGGGGGATGGAAAAGAAGAAGAAACAAACACACGCACACGCACACACACAGCTGTGGACAGCATGCGCCCCCTCTCCTCCCCTCCCCTTCCCTTCTTCGCTTCCTCCTCCTCCCTCCTCCTCACAGTCACAACAGACAACCAACAGCCACAAAGGGCTGGAAGAGAAAACAAACAAGGGGGAGGAGGCAACAGCCACCCAGCCAGATCGCCATGGAAGAAAGAGGCGAGGCGATGGAGGGGCGGGGGGAGGACACTGTCCACCAACACACACACACACACATCTATTGGGAGCCCCACGTCTTCTGTCCTTGCTTTCCCTCCATCCTTTCCTCGGCCTGGGTTGACTTGGGTTGGTTGAGGTGGCACAGCTCGCCATGGCGTGGCATGCGTGGATGTGGGTGTTGGATGTGGATGGGTTCCTCTCTCTGTGGGTGTGAAAAGGGGGTGGTGGGAAACAGTGGGAGGGGTGGCAGCAGCAGGAGAGGAAGAAGCAAGGGGAGGGCGGTGGATGTGAGCATGCCATGCATGAGTGAACAACAACTACACACGAGGTGGAATGATGATGATGATGTGCTTGGTGTTGTGCATTGTTGTGATGGCACAAGCACACAAAGGTCAATCACAATCACACACACACACACCTCGGCGTCGATCAACGCGTCTGCCTGACATATGCGCACACGCACGCACATCTGCAGTCACGCACACACAGTCACACATGGCATCGCAGAGTGAGACAGCGCACCATGCACACGCATGCACAGCAATGCAACCACAACCACCACAACCACTACAACGACAACATCTCCTCATCTCCATGCACGGTCACATGACCAGGTGCTCAACCGTGGTGGTGATGATGGCCATGATGAACGCCTTCCTCCCCACTTCCCCTCAACCCCCTTCCACCAAAACACACACCATTGCGTGCCCTCACCTCGTGCAGCGTGTCGCTGTCGGCGTGGTTGATGGCGATGCACACACATGTACACGCACGCACGCACACACGGCCGTGTGTGTTCCCAGTTGAGATGAGCAACGGAGAGAGAGAGAAATGGGCGACACGACACGACGGCCAGTCAACCCCAGCCAATCCAATCCAGCGTCCACCGCAGTGTGTTGCCTGCTGCAGTCATCATCACAATCACACACAGGTGTAAGGAAAAGGAATGAGCCACTGATATGTGTGTCATTGTCATGCGATATTACCACCACATGATATCACGTGCATGTGCACGCGCACCCCCATCCCCCAACCAACATCACCCGCCCTTCATCCCTTCCCTTCCCTCTGCCTCCTTTCGCTCTGCACTCCCACGTCGCACCACCACCACCACCACCATCACCATCACCGTGTCACCTCCCCCTCCCCCTGCTTCCCACCACTCCACATAACCCAGCCCACCAACCAACCAACCAACCGCCAACGATCATGCTCACCTGTGCTTGATGCAGCCAGCCAGCCAGCCGATGTGTCACAGCGAAAGTTAGAAAAAGGAACCGCAATCACATGCCACGGCCACCATCGTCATCGCTGATGGAGCAGAAAGAGGAGATGAAGGGGAAGAGTGGTGGGCACGGGCCGTGTCCTTCCTTGTCTTCATCGGCGCAGCCCCAAACACGGTGCACAGCGCACAGGCACACGCACGGCCATCATCACAGCAGCAGCAATCAGCAGCGAGCTAGCCTGCCCTGCGTGCCTGTGAGGCAAGAAGAAACCAACCAAAGACGAACAACACCAGCCGGTGGTGGTGAGAACAGGAAAGGAGGGACACAAGGGACCACGCATGAGAATATGCAGCATGATGTGGGCAGGGTGCATCACCTACACACAAGAACAACGAAGCAAGCACCCAACAAGCAAGCAAGCAAGCACGCACACAACACCACCACCATATCCACCACTGCTGCAATACCTGTGTTGGCCGCTGTCTCGATCACGCCTCCACAGCTCCACATCGCATGGGGAAGGCTGATGATGATGATGATGACACAGAGCAAAGGGGATTGGTTGGGAAATGAGGAAGGGAAATCGGTTGGGGAGCCCGCACAACGTCCGCCTGAAGCCACGCAGACACGCAGACACGCACATTGAGTTGTGTGATTGATTCATGTGACACACACATGTCAGTGCAACCACCCACAGCCAATGACTGCTCTGGTGTGTTGGCATGCATGTGTACATGCATGCGTGCAAGTATATAAGCTCGTCAGAGTGATCAAGAAGCTCCGCAGCTAAAGTCGGCCCTCACGATGCCTAGCGACACAAGAGCGCTTGATTAAACGAAAGACGAGACACACACACACACACACACACACACACACACACACACACACACAGAACCATAGTGCACGCCTGCTCAAGCGAGTGCGCGGATGAGACGTCGTGTGCCATATGCAACACCAGCAGCCAGCGCTGCGAGCGCTACGCCTGCTGTGATGGCGGAGACGCGGGGGTGTGCGACGGCTGCCCGTGTGGTCGCAAACGCCGTGTCACGCAGGAACAAGGCGGTCGGCGAGCTGGTGAGGAGGATTTTGGCCGCGTTGTGGGGCGACTGTCGTGCCTTGCGCCATGCTGGTGCCGTCTGTGCAAAGAACTGCTGCAAAACACCTTGTACATCGACCGGGGAGGAGGAAGATGCGTCTCCCTCGCCATGCCCTCCTTGGGCTGCAGATTGCACCGCGCGGGACAGCATGCTAGCAAGCCCGACGCCGTCAGACAGCGCCATGCTCGCGCCATCGCCGCCAAACTGGCTGACGGGGTGGCTGGCGTCGCCGATGAAGACGACGCGGCCGCGCGGTGGAACGCAGGCACCATCGCGACACATGCGCACGTACGACGAAGGTGCCGTGACGGCCTGTGTGATCAACGCCTCCAGCTTGTCGCCATATTCAGCGGCAGCCCCCAGCGCGCGGGCCATGAGCGCCTCGTCGTGGCGGAGGGCGTCGTGTGCGTACAGGGTCCCCTGTTCTGAGGGGGGCGTGGGGAGCGCGAGGGCGACCAAGACGCGGTTGTCTCCTTCATCAGCAAGAAACAGCGCTGTACCTTCGCGGCCGCACACGAGGCCGTGTCGGCGGTGGAGCATTGGCGGAAGCGCGGCGTCCATGTCGTCGACGTTCACGGTGGCACCAACGATGACGGTGTCGAGGACATCTGCCGTCCACTCTGGTTCCAGCATACGACGGACTGTCGATCCAACGCCATCTGCTGCCACAAGCACGTCGCCCCGCAGCGCCGAGCCGTCCGCCAGCGTCACATCAACGCACTGTGTTGCGGCCTGTGCTGTTGCTGTGACACTGCTCAGCCTGTCTTGGTTGCGCTTGTGGCTGAGCGCCTCAATCTGCTGTAGCCCGGTTACCTCTGCGCCAAAGCGCACGTCTGCGCCCAGTGCCTGTGCTCGCTTCAACAGCGCCTGCCAGAGCACAAATCGGCTGATGCGAATGCCAAGACGACGGGCGTTGGCGAGCACCTCGTCGGATGCAATCACTTTGCGCACATGCCGCTGCACGACCTCCGCCAAGACGGGGCCTTGGGAGACTGTGGCCAAGGACCGCAGCTCTTCCTCCATGCCAAGGCGTGCGACCGCATCCACACCACCCGCGTCGGCGCGCAGCGAGAGCGAGTGGCCCAGCTGCGTCTGCATGTCCTCTGGAGACGCGGCTCGCTCCAACACCACCACCACCTTCTTGGCTGCGTGGGCTGCATTGCGGTTGGCTGTCTCCTTGGGTGCCTGCTGTGTGCTCTCCTGTGTGCTCTCCTGTGTGCTGTGCTGCGTGCTGTGCTGCGTGCTGTGCTGCGTGCTGTGCTGCGTGCTGTGCTGCGTGCTGTGCTGCGTGCTGTGCTGCGTGCTGTGCTGCGTGCTGTGCTGCGTGCTGTGCTGCGTGCTGTGCTGCGTGCTGTGCTGCGTGCTGTGCTGCGTGCTGTGCTGCGTGCTGTGCTGCGTGGTTTGCGTCTGCTCGTCCTCCTCCCCAAGAAACGCGCAGGCAAAGGCCAGGCCGCTGATGCCGCCTCCCACAACAACAACGGTGGTGGTCATGGCAGGTATGGTGCAAGTTTGTTGGGGAGGGGGGTCGCTGTCTGTGTTCGTGGTGGTTGGTGTTTTGTAACAACAATGAATGAATGCCTGACTGGGTTTATTTTTGGCAAATGCTGGCAACCATGTGTGACATGACAGTGTGATGTGATGTGACATGATGTGATGTGTGACAGTGTGATGTGACACACCACGTTCAAGCATCGAACCAAAACAAACAAACACACACACACATACACACATACACACACAGCCACACGAGGAGATATGCCATGGTGATACATTATTACATGACCACGTTCAAGCAGCAAAGAGAGAGCAAATCAGAGCAAATGCACACACACACACACACAATCAGAGGTTGAGGGCGTAGAAGTGCTTGTCAAAGGAGCCAAAGAAGACGAGCATCTTGTCAGAGGAGAGGCGAGGGCCCATCGGCACAGGGATCATGCCCCCTGCCTGGAAGTCCCATAAGAGCTCGCCAGTCTCCGGCTGGAGTGCATAGAACATGCCGCGAAGGGTTGCGCCATAGATGCGTCCGCGCTCCTCGTCAAACACAAACGGGCCGAAGAACTCCTTGGGGTTGGGCAGGTTGGTCACCTCCCACTTCACTGCACCGGTGATGGGATCAGCGGCATACGCCGTGCCGTCGAACCGGCCCACGACGACCATGTTCAAGGCCTTGATGTGAAGCACGGTGCCACCCACGCCCTGGTGCTCCCAAAGAGCCTGCACGCACATGAGTGATGGTGACGGTGAAGCAACAATGCAGAGACGGAATGAACAAGCGTGAATGGTCGCATGGAGGGGGGAGGGGTAAGTCCACAGATGTCTAACAGACCTCTCCACAAACACACTCACACTCACGCACACACACTCACACTCACGCACACACACTCACGCAAACGCAGACGCAAACACACTCACGCAAACACACTCACACACACACACACACACACACACACACACACACGCGCACACACACACACACACACAAACAATCAAACACACACACACACACACACACACAAACAATCAAACACACACACACAACAACAACACACGCACACGCACACACACACACCTCCCCGAACCTTGTTGGAGGTGGTGTTGAGGGCGTAGACAATACCGCCATGACGAAGAGAAGGGTTGTCTGGATCAGGACGGAAGCAGCTGAAGAAGAGGATGCCGCTCTCATTGTCCATTGCTGGCTTGGTGTGCGAAGAGCCACAGTGCTGGAACTTGCTCAGGACCTTGCCCGTGCTCACGTCCAGCTTGTACATGAAACCGTCGTTGGCTGCAATCCAGATGGCGGTGCCGCTCGGATCCACGACAGGCGAGTTGTTCACCTGGTCGCCAGCGTGCTGGGTCCACAGCAGGTCGCCAGTGGTGGCGTTGAAACACCTCGTCGTGGCGTCCTCGCTGCCCTGGAAGCGGCGCCCTGCGTGGATGAGCGGCGACGAGTACGCCTCGCACTGGCGGTACCACTTGGCATCCCAGCACTTCTGTGGCGGGGGCGTGAATGCCCACACCGTGTTTCCCGTGGCCGCGTCCAGCGCCGCAAACGTGTTGTTGTCCGTGCCAACGTGCAGGAGCCCGTCAACAACAACAATCGAGTCGCGCATGCCATTGCGCCCAGTCCCCATCGTGCGCGACCACACCACGTTCCCCGTCGCCGCCTCCAGCTTGAAGATCTTGTTTGCGGGCTCGTTTGTGGCGAAGTACACGTGCTCACCCTCAACCCAGGGCGACGACATCACCGGCGCCGGCGGATCGGGGGCCACGCGGTACGCCACGCGCTCATCGCCACGCACCATCCCTGGCGCCACTGCCACCACCACCAACACCGACACCAACAAGAACGCTGCGACAAGCATCCTCATCATCACGGTTGAAGAAATTTCGCTGAAAATGCCCACGGATCCTCCGCACCCAACACACACACACACACACACACACACACACACACACACACACACACACACACACACATCACACGCATGGTTTGGAGTTTCAGCCGCAGCACGTCAGAGGAACGGCTTCCGCTGAGAAGCAGGGAGTCTAGGGACAGCCGCATGGCGTCGACAACAGCACCGCCGTCTGCTGGACAAGGCGAGAACAACGCCTCCTTGGTGGCATCCAACGCCTCTGCTCCAGCGTCGCCATCCTTGTCATCCTCAGCATCATCCTCAGCGTTTGCCCTGTCATCATCATCAACCGCGCACACCGGCACTGCTCCCGGCACTTCGTGCTGGTGCTGGTGCTGCCCAACATGGTTGGTGCACAAGCTGTTTCTGAGCAAGGACTGGTGGTCTGTTTGGATCAGCTTCATCATGTTCGTGCCCGTCATCGCGGTGACGCTCAACTACCACGTGGACGCCCTCACACCCAAGAACTGGACGTCCAGCCCGCTTGACGCGTGGACGTCAACCCCCCAAATTGTGGGCTTCACCCTCGTGCTGGTGTGGTCCATTGCGGCGATTACGTTTGCGCTCTCCACCATTTCATGGCTCTCGCGCCACAAGCTCGGGCGCGATGCCGCGGAGGCGTTCTCCCTGCGCGCGTGCGTCGGTCGCAACGTTGCTGCCATCGGCTGCGTGTCGCTGATTGGCCTCGTCGCGCGCTGGCTCGGCGAGCAAGCGTCCATCGACCGCTACGGCATCACCTTTGAGGTGTGGGCGCTCGTCTTCGGCATGCTCATCTCCAACTTCCGCCTCATCCCCAAGTGGCTCGAGCCGGGCAAGGAGGGCGAGTTCTTCATCAAGGTGGGCCTCGTCTTGCTGGGCCTGGACCTGCGCTCCGTGGCCGCGCTCGGCGGGCCGGGCCTCCTCAGCAGCTGGGTGCCCACGCCCATGGTCATCGTCGCCTCCCTCCTCTTTGCGTTCCTCGTCCTCAAAATGGGCAGCGAGCGCTCGCTTGCCTTCATCCTCGTGTGCGGCACATGCATCTGCGGTTCCTCCGCGGCCACCGCCATCCACGGCTGCGTTGGCGGCGAGACGGAGGTGCTCGCCCTGTGCATCGCCATCATCAACCTCTTCACCATCCCGCAGATGATTGGCCTGCCGTACCTCGCCTACTACGCCGGCATGCCGCTCAAGGTTGCCGCCGCGTGGCTCGGTTCCTCGGTCGACGCCACGGGCGCCGTTGTTGCCGCGGCCAGCGTGTACGACCAGCTCGCCGACGTCTCGTGTGAGGACGGCAGCGGTGACGGTGGTGACGGCACGTGCGCGGTCGACGTGGCCTCCACGGTGAAGATTGTGCAGAACATCCTGATTGGGCCCGTGGCCGTGGCCGTATCGCTGTACTGGATCAGGAGCAACGCCGCTATGGCAAAGACGGAGCAGCAGCAGCAGCAGCAGCAGCACAATGGCAGCGGTGGCGATGAACTGCAGATGGCGATCGTGGAGAACGGGAACGGCACCACGGCCACCGCAAGCGACAAGGACAACGCCAACAGTGTCGGTGATGGCGATGGTGATGGCTATCGTGACGATGGTGCAGATGGCGTCGGCTCAATTAAGTTGATGGATGGCGAGGATGCACGTGCACAACCACGCGCATTTGGCAACAACAACAACAACAGCAGCAGCAACAGCAACAGCAGCGGCAGAACCAACAGCAAGTGCGGCAAGCAGAGCATTGCGCTGCAGCTGTGGGAGAAGTTCCCCAAGTTTGTGCTTGGGTTTCTGTTTTGCTCCACGATCATTACGGTGATCAACGCGTCTGTTAGCGACGAGGAGCAGGCGTCGCTCAAGGTTGGCGTGCAGGCCGTGTCAAAGTGGTTCTTCTGCCTGGGCTTTGTCGGCATTGGTCTGAGCAGCGACCTGCGCAAGCTCGCAAGCAAGATGCAGGGCGGCAAGCCCATCCTGCTGTACGTGCTCTGCCAGTTGCTTGACCTCCTGCTCAAGCTTGGCTTTGCATACATCAGCTTTGATGTTATTGATAAGTAGTGCTCGTATCCCGTGTGTGATTAGATTAGGCAACGAGAACTGTTGTTTTCACCTATCTGCGCTTTCTTTGTTACTTGTCACTCATGCGTGGTGGTTGTTCATTCATCCATCCATTCATTCGTCCATTCATTCACTTTTACCACGTAACGAAACAAGAGAAGTGTGTGCAAGCATCTCAACCCCTGCCGCTATGGCAAGGAAAAGGAAGTGTCAGCAACACAACACAACACATCGCACACACACGCACACACGCACACGCACACGCACACGCACACAACACAAGAGTCTATGGCTGCTTCTCATCTCCGAGTGCCAGCAGCTTCGCCTCCACCTCGTCCAGCAGCTGTGGAATGACGTGCAGCCGCTGCCGCTGCCGCCGCCACGCGCTGATCTGACGCCGCAGGTGGTGCCGGCAGTTGGTGAAGTGGAGCGCCACCACCTCCTCGAATCCGCGCGGCGGGTGGTGCAGCATGTCCAGGATGCCGTAGCGCAGGGTGCCCTCAAGCACGCGATCGTCGTCCAGCTCCGCCCGCTCCTCATCCTCGCGTGTGTTCTGCGAAACCGTTGCGGGCTCGTTGTACATCTGCTTCGACACAAACATGTGCGTCTGCAACGCAAGCAGCACCTGTGGCAAAAATCAAGGAAGAGGGGATGAGGGAGTGGCGTCAGGGGTGGTGAAAGCGACTAGGTTAACTGGGGCAACATTGAACCATCGCAAGTACGCATTGTGCGTGCATGTGTACGGACGCAGAGTACCTTTGCATACACACGCACATACACGCACAAGTGCACGCATACACACAAGTGCACGCATACACACATGCACGCACACACACACATGCACACACACACGCACGCATACCCACACATACACACACGCACGCATACCCACACACACACACACACACACACACACACACACACACACACACACACACACACACACACACACACACACACACACACACACACACACGCGCGCGCGCGCGCACACACACACACACCTGGTAGAGGTTTGAAGACTTGGACCACTTTTCGCGGGTGTCTGCAGCGTGCCAGGTGTTGAGGAGGCTGAGGCACACGGTGCCGTTGTTGTACAGATTTGGATTCATGCGAATTCGACCGCGGCCGTTGGTGAGAAACCGCACCTGCGGCGGCTGCGATGGGTACTGCTCCGGGATGAGAATGTCAAAGAGGAACAGGCCGTAGGCATATGGGGTGTTGGGCGGTCCGCTGATGAGCGCACGCACGAGTGGCAGCCGTGCCTCGTCCTGGACGATGGTGATGATGTGATGAAGACGATGGTCGTGGTAGGGGTGAGTCAGGTGGAAGACAGTAGCAACGGTGAAGTCGTTGGAAATACCGTGAGGGAATTTGCAGCATAGCGCGGCACGACGCAGGTACAGTACAAGGGCAAAACAGCCCCCAGGTGACTGGTGCGACCACGTACGGCGCATGCGAAGATGGCCGAGTCGACGTGGATGGGGATGTTGCGCGTCAGATGTTTGAGTTCGCGCATGAGCGAGCGCGCCGTCTTCTCCGACGGCGACGAGGACACGCGCGACGCAAACACGTGCTCCGTCGACCCGTCCTGTTGGCGAGGGCAGGTGGACACGGTCATGATCACCAGAAGGCAGAGAAGATGGTATGAAAGAGGTGGACAAGCACGTGGTCCGGGTTCATGTGACATGGATGGTGGTGATGGTGGCAACAGCGCATCCCAGCATTCGGGGCGCGGCAACGCACCTCGAGAGCGAGGTTGGTCATGGCGAACACGTGTGGCTTGAGCGCGGCTTCGTAGCCGCTCTCCTCGGCCGCCACTTCCGCATCCGTTGGCGGCGGTGCGGACACAACAGCGGCGGTGGGGTCTGACGACTGCGGCTGGCGTGGCCGTGGAGTTGGTGGTTTCGGTGTTGATAAGTGGGTGTTTGAGGGTGGGGGGGGGGCAACGGGTTGCGATAACGATGCGTGAACAGCAGGAGGTACTTAGCAACAAAATCACTCGTACACAATCGTTGCAACGTGCAATCGTTGCACCGCACACACAAAGACAGACAGACACACACTCTCTCACTTGTTGGCCTGCTGCGTTGATCTTGAGGGCAAACGCCTCCAGCGCCGGCATGTCAATTGTCTGCGTTTCCCTGCAAGATTGGATGAATTGACGGTAAACATGAGCACATTGATTGGCCGAAAATGAACACATGCACACATATGTGCACTCATCGACACACAGACACCAACACGCAGGCACACACGCACACGCACACGCACACACACACACACACACACAGACACGCACACACACGCACGCACGCATGCACACGCACACACGCACACGCACACACACATACACACGCACGCCACCAAACACCTTGAGCGGACGAGGTCGAGGAGGCTATGGAAGTTCGCGAGCGTAAACTCGTCGTCGTCGGCGAGGGCGCGGGCGAGGCGGTGCTGTGCCGCCGCCGGCAGTGTCACGGCCGCATTCAGCACGGAGATGGCAACGGCACCAACGTCAAATGCGCGCGCAGAGGTGTGGTGGACAGAGAGCTCTGCGCGGCGCGGGGAGGAGAAGCGGGTGGTGACGAGGGTGATGGCGGAGGCAAGGAAGGCGAGCGGCTGGCGACACGTCGCCGCAGCAACAACATGGTCGTCGTGGAGGAGGAGGGAGAAGAGGTCCATGTACAGGAGGAGCGGGGTCATGGCGCCGGAAATACGGGCCGCGTTGTCCTCAATCAGATAGCGCGCGCGCACGCGATCAACGGCCGCTGTGGAGGGATTGGACACACGCTCCTCCGCAAAGTGGACCTTTGGGATGGCGGTGGTGATGATAATAATGTGAGGTGTAGCGGTTGATGATGATGATGATGATGATGATGATGATGATGATGATGATGATGATGATGATGATGATGATGATGATGATGATGATGATGATGATGATGATGATGATGATGATGATGATGATGATGATGATGATGATGATGATGTTGTTGTTGTTGTTGTTGTTGTTGTTGATGGTTGGGAAACATATCGTGAGTCACAACCAAACAAGTGGGCACACACGTGTCCAGGTTGCGACGCAGCATTCCCACCTGCTGTAGCAGAGTGATGTTTGAGTCGAGAGCGAAGAGGTAGGACTGAAGAAGCGAGGTGGAGAATTCATCCAGCAGCTGCGACGAGGCGCTGGCCAGGGATTGGCGGTGGGCGGGGACATTTAGCAGCACGTTCATCAGCTTGACAAGCTTGGCCTTGACTGCGTACTTATCAAAGGACTGCGGCCAACGAGAAACGCGTGCATGTGCATGTGCATGTGCATGTGCATGTGTGTGTGTGTGTGAGTGAGTGAGTGTGTGTGTGTGTGTGTGTCAGTGTGTGTGTGTGTGTCAGTGTGCGTGCATGAAACCAGCAAACAAATCAAACACACATACACCCTTTTCTCGCCCACGGTTGTCTCATTTCCTGTGCCGCACCGGTTCCGCTCACCTCTCGATCGACATCGAGCCCGACAATGACGTCCAAACCGCGGAACGTCGCCATCAGCGCAGGCAGCAGACCCGCCTGCAAGTCGGGGACGTTGCAATGAAACGGCGCGCACGCAGGCGATGAGGCGAGGGAAAACACACACACACACACACACAGTGTCGCTCAATGTCGCACAACACTCCTCTCCCCAAGACACACACACACATTCTCACATCAACACACAGACACACACATACACACACTCCGCCACACTTTGCCATGCCCTGCTCCTATCCCCCTCCCCCACCTCCATGGTCGGGTGATTGATGAGCGGGGCGCCCGTGGCCTCGGAGATGTACATGTGCGCCTTCGTTGTCGGCGCATACGGCACGCGCGCATCAATGACGAGGGCGTGCAAGATGGATGCAAGGTTCCCTGCCATGATGGGCAGGTCGGCGCTCTGCTGCAGCAATGCCACGGCCCAAGCCGTGAACTTCTCCATGTCTTCAGGGGTGAGCTGCTTCATGCCTGCAAGCACGGCGTCGGGGGAGTGGGCGATGGCAAATTCCACCGCCTGTGCTGACACGCGGCTCAGCACCTCCACACCTGATGACTCCACGGACGAAACAAAAATTACACAGGGGTGGTGTGAGCTGTTCAAAAAAAATTAAAAATACACAGATTGGCTCATCTCGTCGAAAAACGAAAACAAACATCAACAGTAACAAACAGAGATACCAACACGCGTGCGCGCGCACACACACACACACACGCACACTCACACACACACACACACACATGCACACACATGCATACACACACACACACACACATTTATCCTGAGTCGGCACAACCACAATTTTCTCCCTTCCTAACCCCCCTCCCTTCCTTCCTTCGTCACCACTCCACACGTCTGCATGACTGCACCTGCGCCGCCGCGGTGGAGGGCGGTGTCGTCGCAGAAGCGGATGAGGGCGAGAAGACAGCACTGTACAAGCTCCGAGGTGAACCCGCCAGCCAGCAGCTGTTGCCGCCACGCAATGTGGTGACGCGTCAGCCGCGCCCGCAACACATCCCGCTCCGTCTGAGTCGTCTTCGCTTCCTGATCAAGGGAACAAAGCGCAAAATAGAGGGAGGGAGGAGGGGGTGACAGGGGGTGAGTCGTACACCAGCCGTGGCCATATGTGTCGACATATGCGTGCGCGCGCCTGTGTGTGTAATAGAAACGAAAGAACCGCGCATAAACGTGCATGCACACACACTCCTCACACAACCATGACACCTGCTTACCCGCATGCGCATTTCAAAGACGGTGGACGTGTGCTTGAATGCGTGGAAGGCGGCGGGAAGGGCAATGTACAACGATGACAACCACACAGCAACAAGCTTTGTTGCGTGCGTCTGTGTCTTGGCATCGTCGTCGTCGTCGTCGTCGTGATTATCAACAGCATCATCATCCCCATCACCACCATCGTTGTCGCCACCATCCTGCTCCCCCTTGTTCCCGCTGCGTGCCCGCTTCGCCTGAACAAACGGCGGCAGGAGCTGTGCATCCACGTGCTCCCGCATGTACGCGTCCGCATATGCGAGGTTGACGAGCGAGGCGCGGTCTGGCGAGCACAGAATCGGTTTCGCCAGTCGCAGGGCGACGTGGGCTGCGTTGAGGGCCGGGCCGTGGCTGGACGACAGCCGTCGCTGGAACGTCGCGTCAGAGAGCAGCGTGTGGTCCGTGTAGCGAAGGCGGTAATCATGCTCAGCATGCATTCGCGTCAGCAGCATGATCACTGCACAACGACAATGTGGGATGCGATTCGTGCGTATGAGTGCAGTTCGGGTGGGTGAGTGCGTCTGTATCGTGAGACCACACTGACCAATACACGACACAACACAACACAACACGACACAACACAACACGACACAACACAACACGACACAACACAACACAACACAACACAACACAACACAACACGACACAACACAACATGACACAACACAACACGACACAACACAACATGACACAACACAACACAACACAACACAACACAAGGCAACACAACACAACACAAGGCAACACGTGCACCATCCCATCATTCCGTCATTGCGCCGTCGCTATCAATGCATGACCCACCGTCATCCCTGTACGGGAAACGCGTCTGGCCGCCCTTGCATCGTGCCATCCCAGCAGCGGTTGTGTGCAGGAAGTTCACCACCGCAGCCTGCAGTGCCATCAGCGGCTGCAGCACTTCCTCGGGCTGCGGTCCGCGCCGCACCTTCGCCAGCGCCGCCGTCGCCGCCGTTGTCGTCATCTTCTCTGCAGAAGCGTGGAGCGGGGACACGAACAGGGGCGAGCACAGCAGCTGCACCACCTCAGATGCACCTGCTGATGATGATGATGATGACGACGACGACGATGATGACGGGGCGAGGCAAGCAGCGAGGTCGGCGAGGAGGGTGTGGGCAAAGACGGAGGAGATGCGGGCGAGGGAGAAGCGAGCGAGGTCAAGCATGTTGGCGTCCCATGTGCGGGCGGTGTTGAGGCCACGCAGCGGCTGCAGGGCCGTGCGGAGCAGCGACACTGCACACTCCTGCCGTGTCGTCTCTGGTTGCGTGGATAGCGATGGAGATGACGAAGGGGGGAGTGAGGGCAGGGATGTTACAAAGTGGTGGACAAGGCGGTGACCAGCACTCACTGCAGCAGGAGAAGGAGTCATCACACGCACACAGACACACACAGACACACACAGACACACACACACAGACACACACAGACACACACACACAGACACAGACACAGACACACAGACACACACAGCGCAGCACAGCGCCGCACCATCAAGCGGGGCAATGAGATCTGCGACGACGGCTGGTGATCCATTCTGGCCCGTGCACACATCCAGCACAATATCCCACACAGTCCCACCGCCACCGCCGCTGTTGCTGCCGCCGCCACCGCCCATTGCCCAGGCGGGTAGGTCTGCTGCACCTACAGCGGTGCTCTGGACCAGCTCCAGCCGCACATCGTCTCCAGCGGCCTCCTGCTCGCAGTGGTGGTGATCATGGCGGTCGTGGTGGTGGTGATAGTGATGCAGTGGCGGTGAGGGTGAGACATGACAGCGACACATCACGGTTGCTGTCGTATTGACGATGCTCAGTGAACCAACGTCCCCCACCCCACCGCCACCACATTCAAACACGCACAATCCACCACCCAAGATGCATGCAGCGACCACCTTGAGGCGCGTGATCGCGTCTTTGTCGACGTCCTCTGGTCGCTGCTCGCGGGCGATGCGATTGCACACGCGAAGGGCAAAGGCGAGCGGCTGGCGTGCGTCTGTTGCTGCGCGGCGGTACGCAGACACCACGTCCACAGAGGTCGACTCTAGTTGTTGAAGGAGATGGATGGGAGGAGAGGAGATGGAAGGTGGTGTGGGTGTGGAGGAAGCGCGATGGAGAAGGGATGAACATGAGTGGCAATGGAGTCCCACACGATGAGCCACACACACAACACACACACATACGCACACACACACACACACACACACACACACACACACACACACACACACACACACACACACACACACACACACACACGCACGCACGCACACAAACGCATTCACAAACGCATTCACAAACATCAGTGCGGTACCGATTGGAACGCCGACGATGGTGGACAGATATCGCAGGCGTCTCTTTTCTGGGGTCCACACATTCAGATACAAGGTTGATGAAAGAAATGAGTATCGAGTTCGACGCAGCAGTGCTGGCGTTGATTCAAAGTCTTCCCTTCTCACTCGCAACGTTGCTGCACTCAGTCATACACCCTGACACACCTGCAAGGGCTGCCTTGACCTCAGCCTGCGCCTTGGCGGCTGCCTCGGGCGTGACAGCTGGGCGTGCACGTTGTGCTGTCGGTGTCGTCGTTTTCAGGGGCTCTTGCTGCATGCTTCCCGACGTTGGGGAGGCTGCCACCGCAAACTTCCGCCCTGATGTCACAAAACACACGCACAAACATGACATGCGTGCGTCAACGTACAAACGGGAGTGTCGCGCGCGCGCGCACACACACACACACACACACATACATCACATCACACCCATCACACCAAGTGCTTACGTCGAAGCTCGGCGGGAGATGGGCGCTTTCTCGGTGGGCTGCTTGCCTCTGGTACAGCTCGTGGTTGCTGTGCGCTGCTACTGCCAGCGTCATCTTTCACTGGACGGGACGGCTGCCCCTGCTGTTCCTGCACGGGTGACCCTTGCATTGCCGGAGTCGAGGTTGTTTTGTCGTCTGGAACGCCAAGTGCAGACAGCCTCTGCTGCCGTATATCTGGGGGAAAATGCAGCAAAATATCAAAGACCCAAAGCAGCGACAGCCAGTGTTTCACGCGACCATGAACAATGCGCATTTGCTTGCAGTCACGAACAAAGCTCCTCAGAGCAGCCCACGGCGTGACCCATGTCGGATATGCATACAGGGTTGCACTCACGCCAACACACACACACACGCACATTTGCACACACACACACACACACTTGCACACACACACACACACACACACACACACACACATGCCTTTGGCGCTCACCGCGGCTTGTGGGCTGTGCTGGTTCGCGGCTGTGTCGACGTTTGTGAGTCATGATCCAGAAGACCACAGCAATGGCAACAGCGATGCCTGTCGCCACCAGCACTCGTGGATCCTCTTGTGCTGCTGTCACCACGTACTCTGCACCGTCAAGCACTGTCCGCGTGAGCGTCTCCAGCCACTGTGCATACGCGCTGTTGTCGCCGTTGTCGCTGCTGTCGCTGCTTGTGTCTCTGTCGGGAATGGTTCTGCCCATGTTGTTTGTCGTCGACAAACAAACAAGCAGCAAGCAAGCAAGCGAGTGTGTGAGAGAGGGTGAGCAGGGTGGTTGTTGCTCAGCCGGTGCGCGCTGCAATTTATCATGTCGTGACGGACATCGACACAACCGCAACGATGCCATCAGCGCTCGATGATGACATGCAGGTGTGTGCGGGAATGGGGAGGCCGCGATATGGGTATGTGAGGGCAAGAGACCTGAAGCAGTACCGCAAGGACATGAAGAAGTGGATGGACTCCCTCCCGCACCCACCCACACAGCAACAACAGCAACAACAACAACAACAACAACAACAACAACAACAGCAACAACACTGGCAGCGGCATTGGCAGCAACTGCACGCACAACAAGAACAACAAGAACAGCAACTCGAACAACAAATTGAACGGCTAGAACAACAACTTCACCAGCAACGGCAGCAAGAACAACCACAGCAGCAAGAACGACAGCAGCTTGACAACGCGATTGCGCGGCACCAGCGAGCAATCCGTAACGCTGTCGCTGATCTCACGTATCGGGTCCTCTTCGCAACAATCATCCGCAATCGAGGTACGACGATGTCACGATGAAGGTGTGACGTCTAACTGCTGCTTATGCCAGCCTGACCTTCCCGAGCATCACCCTTGTCGCTCGCATGCACACACACTCACTCTCTATCTGTCTGTCTGTCTGTCTCTCTCTGTCTCTTTCTATCTTGTTCTTTCATTCCCTCGTTCCCCTATCCCCTCGTTCCCTCATCCCCTGGTTCTCCCATTCTCTCATTCTCTCGTTATCCCGTTCTCTCACACGCACACGCACACACACACACACACACACCTGCACGCGTGCTCTCTATGTCGACATTTTGTGCACGTGCCAGCGTCAATATGGAGACGGGTCTTAGCTGAGGCCGTGGACCTCGTCTTCGTCGCCTTCCTGACCATCGTAAGTGCATGTCTTGTTTCCATTGCATGTGTGGCTTCCATCGTGGTCATCTTCGCTGTCATCCGCTTACCTGCCACATGTTGTGTCGTGCCACATCCGTTTACTCTCATTTCCCACCATCACCACCACCCACCATCATTAGAGCGTTGCCTCGGTGCTACATCTTGACGCCTTTGACACGTCCGTTCGCTTCAACCCAAGTGAGTCCCAGTGTGTGTGTGTGTTTGGATACATTGCATACATCTTGAATCTGTTGCATTCACCATCTACGGCTCACTTTGTGTTTTGTTCTGGTCACCGCATCACCAGCCATTGCAGATCTTGCGTTTGTGCAGCCCCTCGAATACTTGGTATGCAGGCGCGTGTGTATGTATGTGTGTGTGATGCAGTAGAACACACTCCATTGATTGCACGTGAGCGCGTGAAGCAATGGGCACACCACAACGCATTGCTCTCCATTCACCTCCCTGCACACATGCCTGTTTTAGGCGCAAGCGTGGAAGTTTGCTCTTGTAGACACTCAAGCGAACATATTGGACATGGATGTGAATGTGCATACAATTGCCTTCCTCTCCTGCTACTTGGCATACCACAGTAAGACAAACCGCAGTGTGTGTGCGCGCGCTCGAGGGTGTGTGTGTGTGTGCGCGCTTGAGGGTGTGTGTGTGTGTGCGCGCGCTTGAGCGTGTGAGTGTGTGTGTGCGCGCTTGAGTGTGTGAGTGTGTGTGCGCGCTTGAGTGTGTGTGCGTGTTTTTTTGATTGCATCTGAAGTGCACTTAACGGCACAATCAATCTCCTTCTCCGCCGCACACACACACACACACACACACACACACACACACACACACACACACACACACACACACACATGGCAGCGCTGTACATCTGGTGGCTCGGGCGCACCGCGGGCATGTTCGTGACCAATCTCGTTGTCGTCCGCTTCACGGGAGCAGTCATCCTCCCCGCCATCCCACTCGTACGCTCATGGCTGGTATTGTGCTCCTGTCACCGATCGCCGCCTCCTTTTCAGTGCAGGCTCACCACTCAATGTCTTCTTGCAGACCTTCCCTTCTCTCTCCTTCCTTCATTGCATGTATCCTTCTCCCCTGCCAACTCACCTACAGCCGCCACCCACCATCGCCACTCGCAGGCATTTGCGCTCCTGCACACATTGACCAAGTTGCTGTGTGCGATTGCAATGCCACTGCTTCTCATTGTCGCCCCGCTCGCCGGCCTCTACCCGTACGCGCACGACACCATCGTCGGCTGCCATGTCGTTGTCGCCAGGCTCCAACGATAGCATTCACACATCCACAGTCACAGTCGCACGTTCACAGGGACACAAACACACACACACACAGACATGGACACACACACACACACACACACACAGCCATGGACACACACACACACACACACACACACACACACACACACACACACACAGCCTCTCGCGCCCGCGTTACTCGAGCCGTTATATCCTGAACGTTTTATTCATGTGAAACAAAGGACAAATACACGCATGAATGAAGCAAACATAGACAATGGAGTTTGACGTTGCAATCGAATCGAAGACACACACACACACACACACACACACATGCAACTACTACAGTTCTGACACCCAATTACGAATACACCGCTGCAAGCCTGATGAAGTGCCCGAGCGCCGCACTGACGAGCAGCCCTCACTTCCGCTGCTGCTGCTGTTGTTGTTGCATCTGCAACAGCCGCTGTATGGCCGCCTGCTGCAGCCACGCAGCACTGCCGCTCCCTTGCGACGTACCAGGCTGCTGCTGTGGCTGTGGCTGGGGTTGTGGTTGTGGTTGGTGTGGGCGGGTGACATGTGGGCCACCACCGCCAGCCGCTGCCTGATGATGGTGTTGATGATGTTGTTGCTTTTGTTGTGCGAGCGCCTGCAGTGCCTGCAGCTGCTGCAACGACAGCCCGGACATGGGTGACGTGGGCTGTTGCTGGTGCTGCTGCTGCTGCTGCTGGTATTGGGTTGTCGCCCCTGCGATTGTGGCGCTGGTCGCGACGGGCCCTCGTATGTGCTGCACTCCCGCTGGCTGCTGGTGCTGTTGGCGTTGCTGCGCCATCATCGCCATGACGGCGGCGGCTGCACTGGTGGTCGTCACCGGGTGCGGTGCTACAGGCACAGCAGACGGGGCCGAGGACCGGGAATACACGGGCTGTGATGATGGCTGCTGGGCGTGCTGTGGCTGCTGTGAGTGCAGTTGTGATTGCTGCGATTGCGATGCCAGACGCTGCAGCGCTGCCAGCTGCTGCGGTGTCAATGACAGCGGCATGGCACCAAAAGTGGGCTGCTGCTGCTGCTGCTGCTGGTGGTGGTGTTGAGGGTGCTGTTGGGGTGGGGATGGTACGTGCTGCTGCTGCTGCTGCTGCTGCTGGTGGTGGTGTTGGTGGTGTTGTTGCTGCATCTGCTGTGGCGAGTGCATCTGTGGCTGTGGGTGCGCTTGCCTTGGCGGTTGCTGCTGTTGGTGTTGCTGTTGGTGTTGCTGTTGCAATCGCACCAGTGCATGCTGCAACATGCCCGGTGGCATGTTGGCGAGCAGCGACTGCAACGACTGCTGCCGCTGCTGTTGTGGCTGTGGCTGCTGTTGTGGCTGCTGCTGGTTGCGCTGCATAGTTGTCAGGAGTTGGGTGGCAATGGCCTGCTGTAGCTGTGGCGCCATCGCTTGAATCGCCCGCGCCGCTGGGTTGCCGTCAACTGCTCCAACCTGCACTGCCTGCGCTGGCTGCTGTTGTGACTGCTGCTGCTGCGCTCGCTGCTGCTGCGCTCGCTGCAAGTGTTGCTGCAGTGCCTGCAATAACTGGGCCTGGTGTGGGGAGAGGGTTATTTGAGGTTGCTGTTGAGGTTGCTGTTGAAGTTGCTGTCGGGGTTGCTGTTGTGCATACCCATGTGGCGACTGCTGCTGTTGGTGTGGTGATGCCATTGCCTGCTGCTGCTGCTGCTGCTGCTGCTGCTGCTGCGATGCGGTGGTGGGTGCAGACGAAGATGATTGCGACGACCGTTTCGCTGCCTTCTTCTTGGAGCCGCCACCACGCCGCTTGCGCTTGCGAGCACCGAAATCCTCATCCTCATCCTCATCCTCGTCCTCGTCCTCCTCGTCCTCTTCCTCGTTGATGTACTCCTCATCTTCGTCGTCATCAGCAGCAGCCTCCTCCTCGTCGCTGCTGTGCACCTCATAGTCGTCGTCATCCTCCTCCTTCCCGCCGTCAACCTCATCGTCGTCCTCAGATTCGCTCATCAGGCCCTCGAGGTCCGCAATGTTCTTGATATCACTCGCCCGCACCACCCGCGGCTTGCCATGACTGATGCCGCCGCCGCTGCTGCTGTTGTTGTTGTTGCTGTTCAGCACTGCATCTGCGGCTGCCTGCTGCTCTGCCGCGGACATGAGCGGGTTGACGCTGCGCCGGTTGCTGTTCATCGCCACCGCCGTCTCGCCGCTCCACGTCCGGAACGTCCGCACCATGCGCCGCCGGAAATACTCCTGTCGCGCACATGTGTGCGTGTGTGCGTGTGTGTGTGTGTGTGTGTATGACAAGGGAGACGTGTGTTGAGCATGACCTGGGCACGTAATTGCGTTTGTGGTCCAGTGCAGGTGGCATTGACATCACTGGACGTGGCACAACTGCTTTCACGCGTGCGAATCATTGCTTTCACCTGTATGCCTCACCTGGAGCGTGTTTGCAAGCTTGAAGAAGATGGTGCGCGGTGCGTTGTATGTACGGCAGTTGTCAAAGATGAGCAGCACGTCCGCCGCAAACTCGTCCACGTGGTCGTACACCTCGTCCTCCAGCTTCTGGCCAACCCGATCCAGCGCAATCGGGTGCTTGATGATCTCAGAGTAGTGCGGCGCCTATTCACATCAAGCGTACGCGCGCAAGCGTGCGTGTGCGTGTTTGCAGGTGTGTTGTGCGGTCAGCCGGTGAAATGCAAGGAGATACACACACACACACGCACACACACACACGCACACGCACACGCACACGCACACGCACACGCACACGCACACGCACACGCACACGCACACGCACACGCACACGCACACGCACACGCACACACACACACGCACGCACGCACGCACGCAAACACGCACGCACGCACACATACACATACACATACACATACACATACACATACAGCTTGCCTCAACACCCCTCCCTCTCACCACCACCACCACCACCCTTGCCCACGCGAGCCAAACGAAGGCACAACCTCGGCATCTGTCACAGGCTCCTGGAACGGCCACGCGTCCTCGTGGTTGCGCACTTGGTCCAACACATTCCACGCATCGTCATACCTGGTAGTGGTGGTCGCAACGTTAGGGCTTTGGAGACAAGGGGGTGGGGGCGTGCGGTACAAGTACGTGTGGACAGAGAGTAGGAAGGGGCTGCACAGGGCTGCAGGCAGACACATGCACGGAAGCTTGGACAACACTAGCATGGCACAACGGTGACCAGACTCGTCTCTACGTGCACGCAAGCAAGCACACACACACGCACACACGCACACACACACACACACACACACACACACACACACACAGCCACGCACCATGAGAGGTCAATGTCTGGGTTGTTCTTTCGCCTCTCAATGGCCTCTTCCTTCATGCGCTGCCGCTGCTGCTCAAAGGCGAGCCTGATGATGGCGGTGGTGGTGACAGTTGTGGTGATGGTGATGGTGATGGTGGCAATGATGTGATCATGGTGAGATGGTGTTCAAGGCGGTCAAACGCAACGCCCATAAAGAACCACCACTCGAGCATAGTTGGACGTATCGCCAACACTTGGGGCGTATCGTTGTGATTGCGTGCGTACCTCTGTCTTCTCTTCTCTTCCTCGCGTTTCCGCTTCGCCTCTTCCTCACGTCGAAGTTCTTCCGCCCGCCGCTGCTCCTCCCGCTCCCGCGCCTGCACGCACACACATGCATGCACGTGGCAGTGATCATGCACTTGAGTGAGGTTTGTGTTCGAGCGAGGCGTGTTTCAAACCTCTGCCCTCCTCCCCCCCCCAGTGGCAACCCACAACCACAAGCACGCAGTACCACAACACACAACATGCACACACATGCAACCCACATCGCAACCTACACAAGTTCACACAACCCAATCAATGCACCATCAAAGCAACACGCCTCCCTCCCCTTGCTGACACGTGTGCGCACCTCGCGGGCCTGTCGCTCCTGCTGCTCCTTGAGGGCGAGCTGGCGGCGGGAGAGGCGGCGTGGTGCTGCGGCCAACGCCTCCCGCTTCTCACGCCGCTTGCGCTGCACAGCACAATCAGGGATGGGCAGTGCACATGGGACGTTAGGGTGAGAGCGTGGGTGGCGTGGTTGTGGCCATTGGGGGGGGGGTCACGTCGTGGAGTTGCACAGAACAGAACCCCAGGCAAGAGAAGCATCCGGTAATGCAGCATAGACAACGCAGGCGATGCCTGCAGGCAAGCCATTTTGTAATTGATGGGGTGGCGGGCGACTCACCTCGGCCTCGGCCTTCTGGAACATTTCGTGAATGACGGGGGCAAAGTCGTCACGGATGAGCTTGTACAGCTCGGCAGCAGCAGACTGGTCGCCAGACGGATGGATTGGGGTGGAGGGGATGCCGAAGGTGAGAAAAGTGAAGGAGTTTGAGGAAGGTAATGGAAGGTAATGGAAGGTAATGGAGGTAATGGAAGGTAATGGAGGTAAAGTACATGGTACTTGAAGGTGTCAAACAGCATACGCGTTGGGAGAAATGACACCGGCAGCAAGAGCGAAATCCGCACACAATCCCACGCCACGCTACGCACCCTTCCTTTGCAGGCAAGCTTCTTCGTCAGGCGATCCCAGTCTTCAGGAGTGTTGCACACAAGGTCCCACGTGCCAAATGTCTCACTAGGGCCGCGGACGTGCAGAAAAAAGGGGGGGGGGGCCGTGGCACGACGCAAATGTTGCAACGTCAGATGATGGGCACGACGTTTGGTGGTGACATGGCGACGTCATGTTGCGGTGACGAGATGTGGTGTTGGTGTGGTGTTCGAGCGCATGTCAAACTCTTTGTTGATCGTACACACGCACGTGTACACGCACAAACAAACACACACACGCAGACATACACACACATGCACACGCAAACGCGCACGCACACGCACACGCATGCACACGCAAACACGCATGCAGGTCCAGCAACTTACAGCCTGTGCGCCTTGTCGTCGAGCCGTTGCGGCAGCCGCACCAGCAGCGGGTGTCCAGACTCCGAGACTTGTTGCTGTGACGATGACGATGATGACGACGACGGTGCGCGTGCAGCAGCAGCGGAGGACCGTCTGCGACCTGTGTTGCGGCGACCACGGGACGTGCCTCGGCCAGCACGACTGGTGGGTGGGGGTGGGGGCGCCTCCCTGTACAGGCGCATGCCGGCAAAGTACCAGTAGGTGTTGCCTTTGGCGTCCACACCAAGCGGCTCGACACGCAGACTCGCAGGCTCAAGCACCTGTAGCAAGTGGTGGCGAGAGACAGGGTGTGGAGGCAAATTGGGGTGAGTGAGTGCGTGAGTGTGTTGTGTATGTGTGTGTGTGTTGTGTGAGTGAGAGAGTGTGTGTGTGTTACGTGTGTGTGTGTTGTGTGTGTGTGTGTTGTGTGTGTGTGTGTTGAGTGTGTTGTGTGTGTGTGTGTTGTGTGTGTGTGCGTGAAAGAGAGAGAGAGAGGGAGAGCGACAGACACATACATACAAACACACAGACACACATACAGACACACACACATACACACATACAGACACACACACACATACAGACACACACAAAAAAAAACCCACAAACACACAGACAAGGGAGAAGTACGATAATGCGACCAATGATAATGCATGACACATGAGTGTGGCGTGAAACACATCATCATGCGCATTATTCCCACGCCACCTTGAGGTTGCTATGGAGGGGCCCGCCCGGCACGAGATCCCAGGCATCCAATCGCCATTCGCACAAGTGGTGCAGCAACACAGTCTTGCGCCGCGCACCCACGGCCCTGGGAGTGTTTGGGGCAAAAGAGGGAGAGGGAGTATCGTGATCGTGCGAGGTGGCAGTGGTGAGCAGCTGGCACGTTGCATACACGCACACGTACACGCACACACACACACACAAACACACATGTGCACACACGTACACATACACATCGCGCGTTGGCTCACCTGTAGTTTGCCTCGACAAGAGGGTTGATGAAGGAATCGGGGAGGCGCTCTGTAATGACGCGCGTAAACGCATCCTCCCAGTTGTCTTTGCTGTTGACAGCAGGCAGGTACGCATGATGGGCGCATTGCAATCAGCATGAGTGAGACGAGAGCGCGTGCACAAGGACATGCCCACGATGACACACACACACACACACGCACACACACGCACACGCATACGCACACGCACACATACACACACACGTACATACATACATACATACATACATACATACATACATACATACATACATACATACATACACACACATACATACATACATACATACATACATACATACATACATACATACATACATACATACATACATACATACATACATACATACATACATACATACATACAAACACATACAAATACACACACATCCACACGGTGACGCACACACACACACACACACACACACACACACACACACACACACACACACACACACACACACACACACACACACATAGCCAACAGCGTGCAGCAAGCGCCCTCCCCCCCTCCGCACGTGATGTTGTCGTCGTCGAGAAGGCCTCTGAGGAGTTTGATGTGGATGTGGACGAGCAGGGGGTCCAGGTACCCGCCGTCGAGCCGTGTGCGCACTTTAATCTCCTCCAACGGCTCCTGCACACCGTTCATGTGCACATGCGAGTCATCACCATCACCATCACCATCACCATCGTTAGCAGCAGCATCGCCCCCGTTGATGGCCGGTTCATCGTCGGTGCTGTTCTCCTTCATCGCGCCATCACCATCGCCGCCAGCCCCTGCATCCTGCGCAGTGTCCGCCATGTCAGCAGCAGGCTCCCCGTTGCCTTCTTGCTGTGGCTGCTGGTCCTCCTTGCGTTGGTTCTCTTCCTCTGCCTCATTCTCGGCTGTGTCTTGTTCTGTCTCCGTCTTTCCGTGACCGGTGTCATCGCCGCCATTCTGCTCTTCGTTCTCCTTCTCCGTTGCGTTGTTCTTGCTCTTCTCCTCGGCCGGTGCTTCCTCGCTTGTTGCCGCTTCACCGTTGCCGTCCTCGGCAGCTTCCTTCTTTTCCTCCTCCTTAGCCTCCTGCTGCCCCTCTTCCTTCTCTCCCTTGTCCTCTTCCTTCTCCCCCTTGTCTTCCCCCTTGTCCTCCTCCTCCTCCTCCTCCTCCTCCTCCTCGTCCTCGTCGTCGTCCTCCATGCGTGCCAGCCGCGTGCTGCGTCGTGTGCCTCGCCGCATGGGTTTTCGCGGCTTGGCCTTTCGTCGCCGACCACTCGACCGCGACGGCGTCCTCTTTGCGGGCGTCTTCGCCTTCTTCGGCGTCACCTGTTTGCTGTTGCGCCTCGACCGGCCCACCTCCATCTCCTCGTCCTCTTCCTCATCCTCATCATCTTCGTCATCGCCTTCATCATCAGCGGCGCCCCTGCCTTTGCGGCGCTGCCGGCTGCCGCGGCGGCTGTTCTTGCGCCGCTCGCTGGCCGCCTTGCGCTCTGCCTCCAGCTGGGCGACGAGCGCCACGGCAGCCGCAGCCTCTTCCTCGTCCTCGTCCTGGTCGTCGGCCTTTGGGTCGGAGGAGCGGGCGAGGGCGAGCTCCAGCTGCTCCACGTCGAACGACGGCAGCATGCGCGGGTCATCGCGGCGGTTGGAGGTGGCCAGCTCCTGGCGCAGCAGCTGGCAGAAGTGTGCAATGTACGGGACCTCCCACAGCGTGCGGATGGTCTCCAGCACCTGCTGGACTTTCTCTGTTGGTGGCGGTGGAGGTGCATAGTGCGAGTGTCAAACACGGCACGCAGCAACACGAACCACGTGGAAGGCGGACATGTGACAGGACCATCCAACACAGGCCATGCGTGCCAAGATGGACGGCAAGGAGGACAGAAACATGAAGACAGCAGGCATGGATGTGAGAACAAGCCAGCGACACACAGCACAGAAGAGGGTAAACATGAAGCCAAACACATACGAAAATTACATGCACGCAACACATGCGCGCGCCCACATCGGGGCAAAAAACGTGCCCGTTATCGCATATGGATGACATTGCTGTCACGGTTTGCGACACACACACACACACAACGACCACAACAACAAACACCACAGACTTCCCCCTCCTGCTTTCTTCCTTCCCTCCTCTCTCGGCCTGACTTCCCTTCCCTCCCCCCTTATACACTCCACCGGCTCACGTACCCCTTGCCCCAACGCTGGCCCACACGCATCTCTCTCCGCTCCCCAAACACCGGCTGCTGCTCCAACCACGAGCCGACGCGAGCCACGCTGCCGTGCACCGTCATCACCTCCGCTCCCCCATCCCCTCTCTCTGCCTCTTTCTTCTTGCTTCTTGCCTTCGTCGTGCTGCGCGTTGCACACGTCCATCCTCGTTCGCGCCAAGAAATTCAACAGAAAATACAGCGATATTTCGGCGCGGTTCGGATTTGCGCAAGCGAGCGAGCAGCAGAAGACTTTTTGTTTGTGATGTGTGTGTTGATGTGTTGTGTGGATGAGTGTGGATGATGTGTGTGTGTGCATGAGTGTGTTTGTGCATGTGCATGTGTGTGTGTGCATGAGTGTGTTTGTGGATGTGTTGTGTGTGTGTGTATACGTGTGTGTGTTGATGAGTGTGTGCGTGCGTGCACTTGATCTCTTCTGTTGTGCTCCTCACTTCTCCCTGTTGTAGGTCCATCTACATCAAACATAGCTGAGCTCAAATCCATTTCTTCTCACACATACACGCACACAATGTGAGGAAGCACAAACAAGACGACCAAGGTGACTGCACGTCATGTCACACACACGCGCACAGACACACAAACGACAGAGAGAGACACAGACAGACACAGACACACAGACACACAAACGACACAGAGAGACACAGAGAGACACACACACACACACACACACACAGACACACAAACGACACAGAGAGACACAGAGAGACAGACACACAGACAGACACACACACACACGCTACGAGGTTATTTTTTCATTCGTTCTTGAAAGAGAGAGGCAAAGAGGGCCTGTTTCGCCGTGCTCGCTCGTCTCTGTCGCGTACGCCGTGTCATCGGGCGCCATGAAGTTGACCAGCTTCGGGTGCACGTGAAAGCGCAGCTTTGCGGCCTGTTAGCGGGAGGGCGAAGATAGAATATGAACGGTTACGGGTTGTAT